TAGTATGAACGGACATCTGCATATGATCGGAACTCCACGCAGCTCCCGCGCTACTCTCCATTGGAAATGAATGACCGGTCTGTCGCTTGTCGGAGATAGTGGAAAGCCGGCTTGAAACGCCAGTATGACGAGGATCATTTTCATTTTAAAACAAACGCACCAGTGTAAATGTAGCCTTACATCTAAGGGGGCTGGGACGCATTCACATTACAGCCTCACGTGTGCGCCACATCTCTGAATGTAACCGGTGTAAACTAGTAGGTGTGTTTGACTTTGGACCAACTGTGCAGATCGATCGGTGTATTACAGTACCACGAGAGCTAAAGAGAGCAGACTGCTCCATGCGCTTTCGAATCGCTCTCGCGGATGATCGATCTGCTCCGCACCTCTTCTAGTCGAACACACCAGCTAGTGCTGCAGGCTTATTGGCTCACTGACGCTGATGAGATTAACCCCTTAGGTATCGAATTTGGTACCGAACGACGAGACGTTTTTCGATACTCGATGGTATCGAGGCAATTCGGTCGGTGCCTAAAAAGTATTTAAAATTATGGTTGAACCACTGATGTCACATGGACTATTTGAACAATGTCCTTACTATCTTTCTGGGCCTTGAATGTGTCAGTTGCATTGTTGTCTATGAAGAGGGTTGCAAAAAGGTGGAAAATTTCCAGTAAATTTGGGAAACATTCCAGAAATTTGGGAAACTTTCCTGGATTTTTTGTAATCTTCCAGGGATTTTTGGAAAGTTTCCGGAAATTTGCCACCCCTTTGCAACCCTAGTCAGTAAACTCTCGAATTTCATCAAAAATATCTTAATTTGTGTTCTGAAGATGAATGAACGTCTTACATGTTTGGAACGACATGAGGGTGACTAATTAATGACAGAATTTTCATTTTTGGGTGAACTATCTCTTTAAGTGTGGGTAAAAGTAAAAGTGATGCTTGTCTTGAACTAAATGAACTAAAATAATTGAACTAAATATGTGAATATTTAAAAATGTTAGCAAAGTGCTTTAGAGGTGAACTACATCATGATGAAAGATTAACCATGGGAATCATCAAACATGCCTCCAAAAAAACAAACCTGCAGCCAACGTAGGGATACGCCATCACAAAAACATGGGCTAACATGCCCACACTTGTCACTAGATCAAAGCGGTGTCAATCTAACCTCATAACAACACAAAACATAGTGACTTCATTAATATCAAACCATAAAACCGTATCTGTCATGGGGGAAGATGGGCGTTATCTGAGCTTTGCGACATTGTAATGTGGGTCAGGGTGTGTATTGATCAGATGTGGTGAATTTGCTTTAGTAACCCATTCACTTCACATGGGCCGCACTTCAAATGAAGCATCCCGAGCCAAAACCGGCCAAGTCTTGCCAAAGTACAAAGGTAAGATGGAGATATCCTGGGACTCTAGTTCCCTGTGCGAGTATTAGATTGTGCTTGGATGAGAAGTGGACGCTCGGGACACGGTATGAAAGATCCCGCCTGCCTCTCGGCACAAATTCTTCTCAAACGTAAGTGTCCCGACCGACCCAAACCACAGCGCTCTAGGAAAACAGCTACGACTCTGGGAATGGCATGCTTTAATGCTGAAGAGGGAAACAGAGGGGAGTGGGGGAACTAAAAATAAACCAAGGGAGGAAATTCAAGACAAATTCAATTGTGCCATTACAGTTTAATATCATTAACATGTTGTTTCACCTTCTAAGTAAATATCAGCGGTCCCTCAGTGCAAACCGCTATTTTTCCGCTTGGTTCCTGAGTGGGATACGTTGACCTTGAGATGTCTTCATTTGTTTTGGTTGTGACAGCACAGATGAGGCCTAAGCATAGCAAACTCCACCCTGCCTATAATAGTCTGATCTTAAACACAGTCTACGGAGAGACGTGCAATTTAAGCAGCGCTCTTCTGCGTGTGAGCACATACGCAGAAACCCTGCAGAGAGAGAGAGGGAGATGAAAGAGAGGCTTGTTGAATCAGCTCTGATAGTGCAGACGTAAACACACAGGCCTGTGTGTCGATACACCTGCTGCCTGCCCTGCCTGGCTCCTCTCCACACAGAGTGAAGGAAGAGTGAGAAGAGTATATAGTGCGTCTCAGAAACACGTGCTCGGACAGCTGCTGCTAATAAAGCCCAGCGGCGCTGCCGTAATTAACCGCACTGTCACACCGCCTCTGTTTTTATCACAATCACAGGGATTACAATGACAGAATCTATTTCAATTTCACATACTGTAAATACAGTGCTCAAACCCTACAGAGCTTCTCAAGGTTTTTTTCAAATTGAAGTAGTTCATATTTCTCAGATTTTCAAAAAAAAATAAATAATAATTACATTTTTTATCATTTATATTTTTATAAATGATCATTTAAATAAACTTTTTAAATACATAAAACTAATTTGTTTTATTATATATTATTTGTATTTATATTTTTTAATATTTATTTTATTAAAATTATAGATCATTTTGCAATTTGGATTCTTTTTCTTACAAGACAAATATGCAATAACAACTGGATATTACACAGTTATTATAATTTTACAAGAAACTTCAAGAATCTGAACTCCAAAACAGCATAAAGTTCATAAACAAGACAAAAGATCAAGAATTGGTTTGTGATTTTAAACCCATTCTTACTGATGCTACCAACACTATCACAAATCGCGGAATTCTCAAACAAATGTCATTGATTTTGCACGGTCTAAAAATGCATTCACTACCATTTGGGGTCGGTAAGAATTTTTAAAGAAATTTTTAACAAGTCTCTTATGCTCACCAAGGCTGCATTCATTTGATTAAAAGTGCAGGAAAACAGTAGTATCGTTAAATATTATTACAATTTAAAACACATTTTTCTATTTTAATATATTTTAAAATGCCATTTATGAAAGCAAATCTGAATGTTCAGCAACTGCTCGTGCTCAAAAAACATTTAATATTATCATCAATGTTGAAAACGGCTTACTATTAATATTCTAAACCATTTTTTTTCTGGATTATTTGATGAATTCTGTTTGAAAGAACAATTTAAATCAAATTGAAACCTTTTGAGACATTATAAATTACTTTACTGTCACTTTTGACTAAGTGAATATATCCTTGCTGAATATAAGTAGTTGTTTTCACAATGCGTGGGAGTTGGATTTATTTGCAGCATGTGACAGATGCCATCCATACAGCTTAACTTGTATTGAACTCTGAACATTCCTTTAAACACAGTATGCGTTTGCTGAAATGTCTGCAGGAGTGTAATCTGTGCAGTATGTTCACTGTAATCTCTCCAGTGTGTGTTAACTAATCGCGCGTGTGTGCGTTCGTTATAATCTCTCTCTACTGTAGGTCAGAGGTGCTTCGCTGACTGGATTGTGTTTATATACAAGATGTGGAAGTCGGTGGTGTGCGTGTAATAGGGTGTGGTCTTCCAGATGGCTTTTATGGTGCAGCTGTGGCTTTGTGCGCATGATTGAGCTGTAACTCGAAACATCACACCAAACACACAATTAAGCGACTGACAAACCTACTCATCTGACAAGAATAAACCATAAATCTTTCATTGTCAACAGAGAGGCAGTGTAAGGTGCAACCAGCTGGGTTCAAAACCACCTTTAGAAGTTCATGCCGAGTTTTAAATGTAAACTTCATGGCAGTGTGGCATTTACTCAAAACCACATGGCTCGAGACAACCTATAAAATCTATAAGTAAACACTTTTACGTTGAAAGCACATTCTTGCTGATTAAATCAGTGGGAAAGTGGAAGAACATCCCTGTACAGTACAATAACTTTACAAAACATTAAAAATAAAGGTTCCAAAAGGGTTTTTCGCCATAGAAGAACCATTTTTGTTTGCCCAAAGAACCTTTCAGAAAAAGAAGAACCAAAAGAACCATTTTTTGTTAGTGTGATGAACACTTCACAAACTTAAGAAACTTTGTCCACTGTAAACGGCCTTTTGTGTGTTGAAAAGGTTGGAACCATAAAAGCCATGGAACCATAGATTCCAATTCTAGGGTGAATAAAGGTTATTTTATTGGAATTGATGGTTCTTTGAAGAACTTTTAACATCTATAGAACCTTTCCATTGCACAAAAGGTTCTTTACAGTGGAAAATGTTTTTTTAATACTTTTTAATGTTCTTCACACCAAGAAAAAAAAAAACAGTTCTGAGAACCATTCACTGAAGGTTCGTTGGCTCATCAAAAATGGTTTTCATGGTATCCCTGCAAAAAAAAACCTTTTGGAACCTTTACTTTTAATCCTCATGTTGTGTTCTGATCATTTTAACTCGAAAAAGATTTTCTTTTTCCTGAAAACGCTAGTTAATGTTTTCGCATTGGACTAAAACTTGACTTATCAAAGAGTTTTTACACGTGGTGTTCCCAGACAAAAATGGTCACCTTCAAAAACTGCTTCTCATTATTCTATGTTATTACCAAATTCAGGATTCAATATTTTTATCAACTTGTTTTCTTTCAATTAGTTTTGTATTTCTTTTTGGAGCTAACTGATCATAGGTCTCATTTTTTGAGTGAATATTTCCAAAATTATCCACAATTAATGCTTTTTTACTCAAAAATTGAGGTGCATAAGCTCAAATTAATGAGGCCTGCGATCAATCAGTTCCAAAAATAAATACAAAACCTGTTGCTGAAAGGCAAATAACAAAGAAAACATGTTAATAAAAAGATTGAGTCCAAGATTTGGTGAGAAATAGCATAATAAGAGATTTACAAGCCCAGTCATTTTCCACTGGGAACACTAAAGTGTCATTTTAGTGTGTGTTTGTGTTTTCTTACTGGACTCTGTAGTATCTGCGTGACCCTTTTCTTCTGCTCCATCATGTTAAAGTCTTGTCGCAGATCTGGTGACATGTTGCGTGCACGCAGGTATTCAGGGTCGTTTTCGTTGATGCGGTCGAAGTAGCCCTCCCTTTTCCCCACGCTGGGGGCCGGAGGGGTCGTCACAACCCCCGGTCTCGAATCGCCACTCATCTCTACTGAATTTTCCTGCTGTCTTCACCTGGAGAGAAAGAGAGAGATTTAGCTTGAGTATGCGCATGATCTGTGTGGAAATGCCATTACTCTAAATACTTATATTTGCCCATCCCTAGTACACACCTAACAATACATACTGCACTGACTGAATCAAAAAACCTGAGAGAGGAAGTCTGTGCACTTCATTTGACAGGCAAAACGGTCTCGATCAGTAATGCCCCAAGGACAGACTCATCATCCCACACAACACGCACATAAGTCCACCGATCAATACAATCAAAAACAGGTGAACTCGCTTGCTGAGAGTATCTCTATTCACAATGGACTTGGTTCTTTGTTCACCCTCGACAAAAAGAAAAGAGTGGCTGTCCCGCCAACAGTGAAGGGTGGTGTCAGGTCAACCAACAGTAGGGCAGCACTATCCTATAACACTATCAGGTTTAGTTAAGCCTGATTTTTGTTCTCTCTCTCTCTCTCTCTCTCTCTCTCTCTCTCTCTCATACACACACTATTGTTCCAGACATGTGGATTTCTCTCTCTAGTGTGAGTCAAGCTGTAGAGCATTAAAAATGACAGAGCACTGAATTTCTCCAGATGGTCCACTACCATTGGTTCATAAAATTTTTCAAGAAATTAAAGGTGACATCATGAAAATCGGACTTTTTCCATGTTTAAGTGCTATAATCGGGTCCCCGGTGCATCATTCGAATGCAACGTTTTTGTATTCGAATGTGGATTTTTATTTTAAATTCGACGAACATTCGAAATTCGAATTATTTTTTGATAGCCCTACTGTATATTACGCTGCTGCTACACAGATCTAATATAGCCTAAACATGCCATTTCTTTCCCAGCTGTTCACCTTCACAGACATAACCAACTGTTTTTGTAACTCATGTGTGTTTTTAACAAACTTGTAGAATTTGGCAGTTTAAGCGCAGTAAGACATGAAAGAGAACTTAGTTTAGTACTCACATGCCGCGTGACGGCTGCTTTTGGGCGCTCAGAAAACCGTAAAGGCTGATCAGAAGTTGAAACTAATATGGTTTAAAAAGCATGATTTCAGAGCAATAGGCATGATAATCAAAACCAAACAGATGTTTTTTTAGCAGAGTATCTGAGGAAGGAGCTGTAAAGGCACAGCACTATTCTGGAAAAGGGGGCGGGGAGCAGCAGTTCATTTGCATTTAAAGAGACATGCACGAAAACAGCCTGTTTCTGCTTCCAATCAAAATTTTAAAATGATATAATAAGTGATTTGTGGGGTATTTTGAGCTGGAACTTCAAAGACACATTCTGGGGCATAATAGGTCTCCTTTAAGACTTTTATCCATCAAAGACGCACTAAATTGATCAAAAGTCATAGGAAAATGCATTTATGATGTTACAAATGAGGTCTAATTCAAATTAATGCTGTTTTTTTAAACTTTCCATTCATCAAAGAATCCTCAAGATATCATGAAATTTCATGTTTCTTGAGCATCAAATCAGCACCACAGGAAATTACATTTGCATTTTAAGAATTACATTTAAACACATTCCAACAGAAATTGCAATAACATTCCTCAATTTTTACTATAATTTTGAGCAAATAAATGCAGCCTTGGTGACTATAAAAGACTTCTTTGAAAAACATTTTTTTAAAAATCATACAGATCCCAAACTTTTGAATGGATCTAAAGATTCGATTTAACCATTTTACTACTCAACAGGTGAAAAAAGTAAGTTTGATCAAAGAAAAAGCACACCTCTCCTGAACAGACGACATGATTTCAAGAACCATTCATTCATGGGGCGAAGTTGCCATTCGAGGTTTCTTCAAATACTTAATCCTAGATATCTTAATAGTGACGCTTTGCAAACTCCAGACAGTTGTGCCAGACAGTGTCAGGCATTTCCCAGGCCTCGGTAAAAGCTTTCACCTGTACCTCTCTAGGCTTTCACACTCGCTCTCTTCTGCGATTCACTCTGGAGGGGCTTCTTTTCTCTGCTGTACGTGGCTAAGCTCAAATGGTGCTTGGAAAGATGGTTCAGATTAGAGAGACACTACTCTGCCAGAAAAAAAAAAAACACACACACATGTACTGAGGGTGGGCTCAATAAATGAGCCCAAGCCAACAACGGCAATACCACACTACACATTTTTAGGCGTGTGAACACACGTGCAAGAAAGCAAAAACCTTATTAACCTGAATAAGAGTTGCATTCTTGGCGGAAAAGCCAAATAAGCGCAAACATAAACGAATACAAATGCTAAAATGGATCAAATAAATCTAAAGGGGAGAGATTAAGGGGACGCCGCTTAAGTTTATTATGCTGTCAAGACAACAAACCGCACGCATACACGCAAAGCTCACGTGTTTCAACTCATGATGCAATATCAAACCTAGCACTAGCGACAACTGTTGTGCTGACGGATGACGACAGCTCTGACACACCCACCCAGAAACAGAAACACAACACACAGGCTGCCAAGCCTGAAAGGCAGAACAACTCTAAATAATGACAACAACAACAACAGGTGGGTGGATATTACCAGACAATAACCACAGTATTTGTCCCTTTAAGATCCAACCAGCCTTATGTCGTTTCAAAGCTGCCTTTCTTCTACAAAACATAAAATTAAATGGTTATGATGCTATTTCCCGTAAAATGAAAGTGAAAGAGGAAAAAGGGACACCTTTAAAGTAGTCCATATTAAAATAATAGTACTTTTATTCAGCAAGGATGCATTAAATTGATCAAAAGTGACAGTAAAGACATTTATAATGTATTTCTATTTCAAATAAATGCTGTAAATACAAGAATCTTGAAAAAAATGTTTCACGGTTTCCATAAAAATATTAAGCAGCACAACTATTTTCAACATTTATAATAATAGGAAATTTCTGGAGCAGCAAATCAGCATATTATTATGATTTCTGAAGGATCATGTGACACTGAATAATGAAGTAATGATGCTGAAAATTCAGCTTTGCATCACAAGGATAAATTGTATTTTAAAATATATTAAAATAGAAAACTGTTATCTTAATTTGCAATATTACAGTTTTAACTGTATTCTTTTTTTGAGCAAATAAAAGCAGCCCTCGTGAGCACGAGAGACGTTTCAAAAAAATATATTTTTTAAATTTTAACGACCACAAACTTTTGCGCAGCAATGAAGTCATAAGGACCTCTTTTATGCTACTTCTCTGACAATATAATTTTTGCATCAACTGACCATTTAAAACTTCCCACCATCTGTTAAAAAAATAAACCGCATAATGGAATTAGAATCTGCCAAATATGAATCTGGACATGACTCTAATACTGGGACAGGCGGCAGATGTCCCACACATGAAATTATATAACACGAACGGTCAATCTCAGCTTATCGACTGCTTTATGTACAGCAGTGTGTTGATCTGGGACGTGTTCTTGATTGTTTCAAACTGTCAGGGTGGGTGCATGAGGGGGAAAAAAAAAAAAAAGAGTGTGGGAAATGTGAGGACAGAACGGGGAGGATCCTCAATCCTCACTATAGCAGCTGTTCGGTCTCTGAATACAGGCAATAATGAAGTGCTGTGCAGGATTTCTCTTGCATAGACAGGCTTGCAATAACAGAAAGGACACTAGTAATACAATAGCCACACAAGACAATAAAGTACACTACAGGGACACCAGCAGTACGAGCCACAAGATTCACAGTGTGTCCTACAGTCAACGGCTCATTGTGTAGCTGCTTTCTCTCACACAGTTTAGATGCAGGGTGACAGGATCCCCATTTCAGAGAGCAAACCACCTTTAAATGAGCCATTACAACCACTACTTACCAATCACTGCGTCCCTGGCTGACCTTTGCACTTTTAACACACTAACCGACAACGACTTCGGATTAAAAACAAACAAATAGATTTAACGAATGTCACGACTTTCACATTTGTATGTGCATACATTGTATGGGTCAAAATTATCGATTTTTCTTTTATGCCAAAAATCATTAGGATATTAAGTAAAGATCATGTTCCATGAAGATATGTTGTAAACTTCCTACCGTAAATACATCAAAACTTAATTTTTGATTAGTAATATGCATTGCTAAGAACTTAATTTGGACAACTTTAAAGGCGATTTTCTCAATATTTTGATTTTTTTGCACCCTCAGATTCCAGATTTTCAAATAGTTGTATCTCAGCCAAATATTGTCCTATCCTAACAAACCATACATCAATGGAAAGCTTATTTATTCACTTTTAAATTGACCCTTTTGACTGGTTTTGGGGTCCAGGGACACATATTTATAAGTGAGTGCTAAAGTACCTTTGAGTGCAATGTGCAGTGCACTCTGCATCCTCCCACACCCCCTCATCTTTAGTATGCACTACTATTTCTCTTCTTATCTTTAGCACTAGCAGCTCTATAAATAGGGCGCGAAAGACTTTGGGACTCAAATTTCAGTCGCGGCACAAGGGTCTCACACTCAGAATAGAAAAGAACAAGGTAAGCGAAAAACAAAAAAACAGTAACATTAACGTTACGTTTTAAACTCACAGGAGATGCGACAAAAAGCGTTTAAGATTACAAAAAAAAAAAGTGTCGGTTGAAGAATAAATCCCTCTTTTGAAGCTGCTCAACGCTGTTGGGATTGCATGCAACGATGTGTGATCTGCTTAACCACAAAACTTGGCTCTAAATGACAGTTCGTCGTTAAAACATAACCCAGAAAACAAAACGGGGTGTTTTTCCAGAGTTTTAAGCCGTTAAACTCACCTGTTTGCTCCTCACAGAGTGAAAGTCCAGTGAGCGCTCGAGCGCATCTCTCTCATTCCCGCCTCAAGAATCCCAGATTACCTCAGAGGATTAAACACGACAAAAACAGCCCCCCGAACTCCACAAACAGACCCCAATTCCACTCAGTAAAGCGCAAAACACTACTCTCACACAGCGACACTCCTTTTGCCTCATAAAAGGGGGATTTTAGGTTGTCGGTGTGTCTGCGAGAATCTGCCGCAGCAGTGAGAGAAACTGAAGCGGTCACGTGACCAACTAATCCGCCCCTTCTCTGAGCGCACGAATGCGATCGACCAATCGGAACGCAGGATGTTCACTATGTCCCGCCCACTCGCGTCCCAGCTAGAAGAATTAAAGGTCAGTGTTTACGATACTCAGTGCGTGTGAGAGAGATATGAACGACTGTATGACACAAATCCACACTGTACCTGAATCACACGAGCAGTCAGCGCATAGATTAGAAGAACACAGTTGTGATTCAAAACAACCTTGTAAAAAATTCGGCCAATACAAAATACTGGCAAGTTGTGTTCCATTGCATTCTATCAATGTTTTGGGCTCAATACAATCCACAGCATCTGTAACATGCTGTGGATTACCAGGCAACAATGTAGAGTTCGTAAAAGCAAGCAAAATTAGCGTTTAATGAAATCTACATATTGCATATTCAGCAAGATATTCTGAATGGATTACAAGCAGAAACATGTAGATTATATTTTTGTTAATTTATTCTTCTATACAAAAGTGTTTTAAGATGTTAAAGGGGTCATAGGATGCCCATTTTCCACAAGTTGATATGATTCTTTAGGGTCTTAATGAAAAGTCTGTAACATAGTTTGGTTAAAATTTCTTTTCTCTCTTTTGATCTCTTTTCAGATCAAGCCGTTTTGTAGCATTTCCCTTTAAATGTTAATGAGCTCTGCTGACCCCGCCCCTCTCTTCCAAGCTGCTCTCAGAGAGACTGTTTACTTTAGCTGCTTTCATCGTGAAACTTGCTAATTAGCACATTATTAGGAAAGGCGATTTGCAAAGATTCATTTCAAAACATTATACTCACTTCTTCTGTAGATGAGGCTGGATCACGAATGATTCGCGCGAACATAGATGCATTTATATAGATCGGGGGCGCATTCCCTTCAGAAACAAGCATAATCCA